ACAAATCAAACAAATCCAGGTAGAACCAACTAGTACCAGAGAACCGAGAAACAAGACCAGCCCTAGAGGCCAGCCCACCAAGACTTAGTGAGAAGCAGAGGTGGGTGTGGCCACAGAGGCAGGACACACCCACAGCAGGTGACAATTAATACTATGTAGTATCTGTGCCAGTAAAAAGCACTGCTTTGTTCAATGCTGAGTACAGTACAAAAGCAGCATGCTCACATTCCTGGGCTCAGCCTCAGCAGAGTAATTTATTTTAAATATGAGCCCAGAAGCTGCCTGCCTCAGATTCCTTAAATCGTAGAGATACACTGCTGTCATCGCTCTGCCGTCGCCCGCTTGACGGCTTCTCCCTGAGTCTCCTCACACCGGCCTGTTAACATCCGGCTTCCCAAACAACTGACACATTATGCTGTTTGTATTAAAATGTGTAGCCGGATAGCAAAATGAGTTTATCTAACAAAGAGCCCTTTGATGACAATGTGACGCTCTGCTGCCATTAATATCACAATAGCTGCTGTGTCCCAGCTCATATACACCTAACCCCCACGTGTAGAAATCGGATCACATATTAGATTCACACCTCACCCCATCAGCACGGCTCCTACTCGCCCGCAGGGAGAAAGCACGGTACCCGTCTGAGATGTGTGGCGCGCCTGTAATGCAGGTTACTGGTGAGCTTTTGGTGGGTCAGTGTTGCGTTTCCACACTGAGATTCGTGGTCTGCCCCCCCCACCACACCCCCAGTTCCCCGTGGTGCCCTCCACCACATATCTGGCAGCCTCCTGCTGCCGTGACAGGAAGCTGCAGTCCCAGAGACGGGGAGCACGGCATGGTGCCCCCATGCCTTTAATGCGTGCAGTGCAGACCCGGGGGTGCCGAGGTCGCCTCCCGCCTCCTATCCGGCGAGTGGCTTGCCGATGCGTTGCCTCCCTCTTCGAATCAAGGCCGCGGATGGGGAGCGTTTTCATAAGCTGCAACCGCGGCGGTGACAAGAGGGCTTACAAATTCATCGCAGGAAGAAGCAGAGCGGCACTGGGGGGGGGGGGGTGTGTTTCCATAGCAACGCAATGGTCTCACGGCTACGAGGAACCCACATCAACATTTCTCACTGCAAACAGCCCAGGCATCAGAAGGAAAGCCTTTTTTGGGAAGAATAAAGCTGGTCTAATATTAACGCGTCCTTATCTATAGAAACGGATGTTTGCAGTGTCGAAATAAATCAAAGCAGACACACAGAGCATGTGGGTCACACGCCCGTGACTCGGTAAAAATGTCAGGATTTAACAACAAGGTATACCGGATAATTGGCCTGACACTGGGGGTGAGAGGGAACCTTTGATTGTCATGTAACTGATTATGTCGCGCCGAGTCAGCAAGGCGTTAGCCTGCTAGCCTCGCTGACGTCCCGTGCATTGCTCCGCTGGCTGTACATCGGCTTAACGTTTGTGACCGCGGTCAGCCAATAAAAAGCCAAACACGCCTTCATTGTTCCCGCTGTAAAGCCCACTGCCTCAGACAGAAGACCCTGATCTACACCCCGTGTCGTGACAGGACAAATAAATTCAGTTCCTTGGGTCCTTATCTTCTCGTGGCCTCCATACGTGTCACACTCATTAGTGCCACCCTGACAGACGGATGTCCGCCGCTTTCACTCAATCCTCAGAGTTCGGCTGTCAGACCTCAGGAAATCGGGTGGACTGTCACTTTAAGATCTACCCTCTGCCAGGGTGACATCTTTCGGCAGCTGTGTTGTGTGTTAAATCAAAGGACCTCCGTCGTCTTCTTTGCCTACTCTGTTCTAAAGCCTTGCCATGAAGCATAAACTTTACTTTAAAAGAGATGAATTTCTTTGTGTTTTGTATATATGTGATACTTATACATTCACAAAGCATTTTCACATTCATATAGTTTAATTAAACTTGGCTGTTCTTGATATCTGGTGTTTGGCTTATGGACCATCAGCATATCACATGCAAAGTGTTGAGTGGCCCAGTGGGTTTAGATGCCGTATCTGTGATAGGAAGGTTGTTGGTTTAAATCCCACCAGAGTGATTCTGCTGTTAGGTGTTTAAGCAAAGCCATTACCCACAGACAGGCTGACCCTGCTTTGGATAAAAGCATCTCATCATAGGATGTTCTAGACCCACGGGCTTCGGCCCCCCTAAAAAATAGTTATTCTAAAACCATTTAAGAATTACCCCCAGCTCAGCACATTTTATCATGGACCTATCCCACATTTTTGTTCAGGGAGCTACGCCCCCCAAAGGATCAAGTCCAAGCTTCACCCCTGTGTTTGCTAAAAAAACAGAATGCAAATGTGTCACGTGGCTTGTGAATGGCGCACGGATTCCAAAACATATGATCCGTACAATTTCGAGTAGGATGCTGCAGGCATGATCTACAGCACACATACAAGCACAGCACACGCGGGATACATCCATGGCGCTTGCATACCGCCGCTCACGCGCAAGACATCCGCGAGCCAGCGTTGTTCTGAATTAGGAGCCCGGTGAACCCGGCATGGCTTCAAAGCGGGGAGCTCGTGGAGGCCCAGCGTCTGGCACAGGAACTGAGGCGCTCACTATTTTCAAGTTACAACCCACAATTGACCTTGATGGTATTGATTTTATCCGCACTTCGGGGATACAGTTGTGTGAATAATATAAATATGGAGCTACAAAGGAAAAACAGCAGCAAAGCACGTCCTTCAGAGACGGGTGCCGAGCGACGAGGCGGCTGCCCGCCACACGTCTGCGGAATAGGCCAACCTGGAGCCCCCTTTGTGATGGGGTGGGGGCTATAACCAGGCGGCCCCTGCCTTATTGTTAATGTAGCGATGCTTCTTAGTGGGCCTTCCTGACACAGCGCAGACAGATGGGCAAATGTCTGGTGGTGTGGGAATGTGAGCCGCTGAGAGGGGCTTTCATTAGGAAGGTATTAATATTCAGGGTAGCGCAGGCATGGCGGCCGGGGCAGGGGCAGAAGGCCCACACCGCCTGACTGTAAGCGCTTTAATAATACAAATTACCGCCTCCATCCGCATCAAACGGTCAGGCGGGCGGCGACGGCGTCCTGCCACCGGCCCGCGGGCCTGTGCCCGGCCATCACCGCGCCCTCCTCGGTCAGTCTTCAGCTGCTGATGGGGTTGCTGTGGGGTCCCAAACAAAGAGCTGTGGCTTAATGGGAAAGTGGCACTGCCTCTCATTTGGCGATACGGATCCTGAATGCTGGCTGGAGGAGGTTTCTCAGGGAGGAGATTAAATGTACAACATGGACAGATACTGTAGATAGATAGATGGATAGATAGATAAGGACTTCATTTAATGTTGTGATTTTAATTATCATAGATGTATATTCATTCTGTAACAAAAAACAAACTTCACTCAGTTAATAAGATTCGGACTGATGTCTGGACTAATAGTGCATAGTTCGAAATAACTGACACCCCCCCCCCCCACACACACACACACACACAGCCCTAGCGGCACTTTACCGCCGTCAGCCTGGTGTCAGATGGGGGCGCTGATGCTCATCCTCAGCAGGGGCACAGGGCCCAGCACAGTCCATTTGAGTGGCACCCAGTGCCAGTCCCCGTCCCAGCCTTGCAATCAAGCACGTGTTCAGTAGTGGCACATCGAGGGGGTCCGGAACAGTGCCGAGCTGGGGGGGTGGGTGGTGGTGATAGCTGGCAGAGCCCCAGCCATCACAATTAGTAATTCAAGTAATTTTCCAGAAAAGCCCGCAGCCAGACGGGGGGCCTGCTGTGTGTGCGGCCCACCCCTGTCCAGGCTGCCTATTAATATGCATGCCCGCGCTAATGAGCGGAGCGGGCCCAGGTGAACCGCCGGCCCCACTACCCATAATGCCCCACACCTCGCGCCTCCATGGTCATTATTGTAAAGAAAAAAAAACTCCATGTCAGATCTCTCCTCCACAAATCGATGACTGATTTCTGCTTTTTCCAGGCCATCTTCAGCAAGAGGTGGGGCTCACTCCGGTCATTCCCAGTCCACATCGGAGGAGACGCGTGGATTTAAAACCCCTGGCGTCTCCCACACGAGGTGCGATTCCGCCACATGAACCGAAACAGCAGGCGGACTCTGCAGGTGAGCTGATTGCATAGAGGAGCTTATCATGATCGCCATCGTATGTTGGGGGGAGGAGGGTGCTTCGCTCGTCTGCAGCAAAATGAACGAAAGGAACTGAATATCCAGCATGAAATTTAGCATGGGGAGGGCAGGCGATGAGAATAACGGGGAGAGACACACTGGTGACGGATTTCCACATGGAGTCACGGCCTGCTTATTGTTACCAGGAAACTGCCCCCCAGCCCCCGACACTGCTGTAGCTCCCATTATCTTCCTAGTTTCCTCCTGTTTCCCTCCATTTTCCCTCTGGTTTCCTTCCCAATTTTCAGTCTCTCAAACAGCCACATCACCCCCCACCCAAAAAAAATAAAAAAGCTATCATCCTATTCCATCCCTTTGAGTGGCACCGGGCATGGGGTCCATCGGAAACAGCCCAAGATCTCACTCCAAAGGCTTTCTGGACTGTCACCTGCCCCCCCCACTCCCCGTCCAGCCAAAATGGAGCGGTTGGCATGTGCAGCCCGGCGCTGTGAACTTAACGTCGTTTAGACGCATACGGAGGGGCCGCCCCGGTCCCCGGCACGCGCTGCACACCGCGGGCTCCCCATGTCAGAACAGCATATTTAACATTTCAGGGAGAGGGGATGGCTTATTGTCAGAGAGGGAGAGCCACAGCGCTCCCTGGAGACGCCTCCCATTAATTGTCAAGCGCAAGAGCCCTCGGGGCGTCACCAGGGAAGTGCATTAAATGCAGAGAGGGGCTCGACAGCCACCCCGCTGAAGAAGCATCTAAACAGCGGAAACTCTTCAGAGAGTGCCGCTCTCTCTGCCCGCATCTGCAGATTAAATCCTTCCTGCCCCCCCCCCCCCCATCACGCTTCATGTACAGACTGTGTTCTTCCTACTTATATAGCATTAAGGCTCTAAAAAAATAACTGCAGATAGTCGATATGTATATACATCCCTCTTTTGACCGAATAAATAAATAGTCACACCATGTGGTAAATGCGTTATTCTTAAATGAGTAGTTTTCTATTGCGTAGCTTGTTGTTCACGCCTTGGGCTGTGAACAAACTCGGCCACTAGAGGGGGCACATGTAATGCAAAATGCCACGGTCCAAAATTCTTGCGCCACTCATTTAACACGAACCACAGAGTGACAGACGATGCGGATCGATACACGGACAGTAGGAACCCGCTACATTTATTTTCAGTTATGAAATATGGTGGAGTGTTTTCTCTGTGTAGAAGATAAGTGATTTTTGATGTAACAAAAATATGACTGCTGCAAAGATGTGCCGATATGACATTTACCTGTCTGTCTCTGTTTACGGCTGTCAGTCGGGCATGTGTCAGTGCCGTTATAATACAAACCTCCGCTCAAAAGACAGCTGTCCGAGGTAATCGTATGATATAACGCTAAACCAACTTAGCTGGCTTTATCTCCAAAAGCAGCAGTGTGACCATAAGGCTAGTAAACCCGTCACAGATTGGGCTTCGCCTTTAGGGGGAGAGGTTTCTTGAGGTTTCCCTCATGTATTAAACACACGCATTATTATTCTTGGGTAAATAAACATGGAAGACGACCAGCTCGAGCTGGAAGTTCACTTTCTTGTGTTTCTTCCAGGAAAAGCTCGCCCTTTTCGCTTGTGCTGTCTCAGCGCTTCGACAATCCCCAGAGCGGGAGGCGTCACCACAGTGGCAGCATTTGACAGCCTGGGCTTTGTGTGCCTCCAACTTCTTTAAATACCCGCTGTCTCGCGGGTCTCGCGCCGGCCGGCGCCGCTGCGGCAGGCTCGCGGCCGAATGCTAGCCCGCCAATGCCGGCGCGAGACTTTGCAGTTAGCGTGCGCTCACGATAAACCGTCACTCGAGTTTCCGTATCGCTCGCAGGTGAATGTTTTCCCGTGAACATGAACATATAAAGAAGGGTAACACTAAACGCCGTCAACAGAGTTGCTAACTTCCACGCATCTGGCGTAAAATTCAGTTTTCAGACTCTCACGCACGAAAGCGTACGGCAAATTTATATTATTCCATTATAAACCTAAAATTACCTACATTAAAAGCGTAGGGGTAGTTTGCAATAATATAGACTATTTACAAGATAATAAAACTCTTACATACATGTAAATGAGTGTGCAGACCAAAGTCGGCAACCTTCAGCCGCCACGGTAAAGCAGCTGCTCGCGTCTTCCGGGCGTCAGAGCTTGGCTGATGTTGAGAAGGTTAGTTTTAAAATTTATCCCGTTACAGATTACTGAATACATGTAATTTGAAACCGTTAGATTACTCCAAGGTAGAACCTCAATCAAAATACTTTAAATTACAGACATCCTACCTTAGGTATATTGATTTCAGGAGGGCTGAGATATATACTGTCCAATGCTTGGCTGGTTTTACGGTAATGCCGTATGTATATTGCAGACTTGGGGGGGGGAATTTGACGCAAGGTTGCAACGGTACGGCTTATTGCCAATTTTACCGCAAGAACGACAGATTTCCGGGACATTGCGCATCATTTGCGGGTGTCAGGGAGCTGCTTTCAATTTGCGGGAGACTCCCGGAAGCTTCCGGGAACATAAATAAAATTGCCATGGAAGTAAGAAATTAATTCAGTTTCTTAGTTACTTTAAAATTGATTTTACATTCAAAAGCATTTACTTTACCACAACTGAAAAATAGTTAACATCGAACTGCACATTAATTCAAAGTGCATCAATCATTTATATTCAAGTGTAAGCAGAATAACAACTGAAAACACGAACAGAATGTTTTTAGAATAGTGGTTTAGTCTGTAGCCCCAAAAGGACGGCCTGGAAGCAGAGCTCGAATAGCACTAAAATGTTTTTTTTTCCTTCTTTTATTTGCTTAAATGTGAAATATTGGTGGAATTTCCTTGGATTAAAACTATTGCGTTGTGCAGGCTCGTTCACTTCCTTTATGCGATGTCTTTAGTTCGTGTTTTATTTTTTATTTTTAACTCTGGGGGTATGGGTGACATCTCCATATAGACTACTATTGGATAAATTTTGAATATTTTAAATTGAAACTTAAAAAAAAATGTATAGTGAAATTGAAAGCAATCTCTTGATCAATCTACATGTTTTTGAAAAGTAACTATTTTGCCAGTGTGCATTTGTATGGTAACTGTAGTGAATACAGTTACTCAGCGTTATGTATTTAAATTACAAAATATGTCACATGTATTCCCTTACTCCCCACCTCTGCTTGTTGCTCAGGTAGCTGACTGCGACTCTGTTTGGAGTCGTTTCCTCCTGCGGGAGTGCATGGTAACAGCGGCTTGACATTTCTCAGGCTTTGTGGGCCGACAAGCTGCACATGGGTCTGTACATGTTATGTTTTTTTTTTCTTCTTTTGTTTCCCTATTTTCTTCCCAGCCCTCAGTGTAGCGTTTAAGGGTACTGAATAGTGTTTTATAACTTGCCAATTGAAATGACGAAGGGCTGCATTCCACCACTGTGTCATGAACAAGCCTCACCGTTATGCCGTCGCTACACCGTCGCTACACTCACTCTGCACATCACAGTTCAGCATCCCGGCTCATGCTCTGTGGCAGATGGGCTCCGCTCTGGGTTGCATTCAGTAACAGCAAGGGTGCCCCCCTAACTCTCTGCCTGGAAGCACACTGGAGTCATGGGGGGGTAGTTTTTGCTGCTGCAGTCAATCTTTGGCAGAAAGATCCAAGGAGAACATTCTATGACCCCAAAATCTGACCCCTCATTTCCTATGTGGATACTCCACACCATTTTACCCTTTAACCTGTCCATACATGTACTCATCTCTGTCTGTGGCACAAAAAAAATTATGCATTGTTGTTATGCAAAATTGCATTTTGATCACAATGATCGTCAGAATTCGTCATGGTGTTGACCCCTGTTTCTAGCATGTAGTCTAAAATACTTATGACTATTATTTCTTTGTCCATAACTGAATAAAAGAAAGAAGGGAGTCTCAAAAAGGTAACAGTTGATGGGATAATTTTCCCTCCCACTGCATCTTATGGACAGGTTGCGTTTTGGAGCCGCATAAATGGCACGGCATGTATGGAAACACTGTGGAGACACACAACAGGACAGGTCTTCTGAAGGCTACCTGGCAGTTTGGCAACTCTCTCTAACCCTTTTGGCAGTACGCAAAGCCAGCAGAAAGCCCTCCTTATAAATATTTTGCCATGCTGTCACAAACAATAACAGCGGCAGGGTTCACTCTTTCATGAGTAAGTCGGCACATCAGCCTACAATAGCTCGGAACCTCATTTTACACAGTTCTCCGCACTGTCATGTCCCTACAAGACCTCAAGAAACCTTGAATAAATAAAACATTTGATAAGGCCAGGGTCAAAAACAGCGTCATTTTCATTATCGGATTTCCCTATGATGTAAAAGACGTTATTCTCACACACATGCAATGTGGACTCGCCAGGAGGTTGATGGACAGCCTTGGAAGTGACAGTCTTGGATTGGAAAAGGAGACCCCAAGACTTCAAATCCAGGAGTTTCTCTAAAGAGTTCTTTCAAGTTCATTATGGCCTCAGATTCCACAGGTCTGTCTTAATCGATAGTCCCCCCAAGCTCACAGTGATCACTTTGAAAATGTTTACAAGGTAGATGCATCGCTTCATTTCAGGGTTAACGTTCCCGTACCTTTAATTAGCTCCGGTTTAGGACCGCGTGTTGATGTAAATATAGATGTAGGAGTGAGCAGGAGCGGGAGGCTACCACAAGATTAAAAACCACTTGTTTCTTTTTGACTTGTCACCACAATAAAGTTGGTGGAGACTCCTGGGAGATGTGCGTAAAGTAGAACGCCCAGGGCTATGTTAGACGAGGCCCCGATAAGTGATATGAAAGGTCTCTAATTAAGCACTTAGCATTTCAAGGCCGCTATCACCGCTAGTCCGTGGACTGAGCTGGCGGTCCGTCACCACTGATAGGCCGGCGCGATGACTAACATGAGTTGAGTTGAGTCTTTTGTACTGCAGGCGAGGAGCCCTGAGGCACCAGCTGATCCGGTGACCCCCTCGGATTCCCCTTCCCCGCCGAAAGCAGCCGCAGATCGGATGTGACAACTTTGCAGAAGGGAAAGTTTTTTTTTTTTCTTTTCGGTGCCGTAAGGCTGAAAGGAGCGGGTGGGTTTCCCGGACTGATGGCAAAGTCTGGCTCAAGAGGCACATCCCGTCCGCCGACCTGTCACGTGACCAGCCAGTCGGTTTAGGTGGGAAAACATTGAAGCCACACCCTCCTCCTGAGGCACTGTTTTTGTTAGGTACCATCCGTTTAACTTGTGTTTATGCTAACGAGGCTCGTCCGCACACTCACTGCACACCTCACACCGTAAATCAGGCCTTTAAATCTGATTATTACTATGAGCTATTGGAGATGACAGGCCTTTGTGCAAAGAAACGAGCAAAAGCCACAAACATGACGCTATAGAGGCGCGAGATTCCTCCGAAGCCTCCGGTCCCCCTTTCCAAACAGAGCCTCATGTATTTCCTCATCTTAATGGCACAAAGAGGGCAAAACGGAGCTCTGGCAGAGATGATAAACAGCCCGTTTCCTCTGACAGATGGGCTGCACCATCGCCCGCCTCCTCTCGTTCCTTAACTTGCCCTTTTTCTCTATTCAAAGCGAAAACAGTTTTTTTTTCCCAAATTGGTGTTATTGGAAGTCGTAGAGGATCGTCTCCAGGTTCAGAGAAAACACTGCTTCCCGTCTCTCCTGGGTAATTCCTGCATGCACTTGCCCCGAAACAGTAACTGATAATGCAGCTTTTAAATGCAAATGCAGCCGTTTCAGATGGAGGAAAGTCTGCATTTCTTAATATATCCAGGAAACACAAACAGTAGGTCTTCGCCAAAGGCTTATTAACGCAGCTGAGTGGCTGAGCGGCACCCTGGTCGCTCATCCCGGATTGAAATTGCTTGAACTTAAAGTTAATGCATGTAAAGGAAGCGGCGAGGGGTGCTGGGGGTAGTGGGCATGGCAAGCCAGGAGCTGACCTCAGTGGGCAAGTTTAAGATCCGAAATGGCAACCATTTCCATACCCTGGCTGGCTGCCATGGAAACCAGCCTAGACCGGGAGTGGAACGATAGTGGACCAGGAGGACTGGGTACCTAAATGAACATGAAGATGAACAGATGAAGGAAGCCACTGAAGGAGACTGCAGGTAGCTCACGATTCATACCACCCACTGTGGGCGTTCATGGGTTGGCTTCTTGTTTTTGGGGCCCCACTCAAAAAGTCACTACAGCCCCCAACACCCCTTTGAATGTTTCACAAATAAATAAATAGAGTCAAAGATTGTAACTAACTAGCTCATTAGAACATTCAAGTTGTTTCAGCATCTCTGTTTATTTAATACTTAGTGTAGTGACTGTTTGTGACCATGAGGGGGCCCCCAAACTTCAGGGGTCCCATACTCTTCGTCTGTTTTTTGTCCTTTTCATGTCTTCGTTCTGCCTGGACGTCCAATTTCCTATCAGAAACACTTTGGTAGAGTATCTCTGCTAATAAGAGACATACATGTTGTTTAAAATCAGCATAAGGAGGGTGGGTGACTTGTGAAAGGCTGGTGTTTTCTCTTCCTTGTTAAGGAGCACGTGTGGAAAATTGAGACCGTAGCGTGCGGACAAATGATGCTGGTCTAATACAAGCAGGATGGTAAAACTGCAAACATGCCACACAGCAGAAGAGGCCTGAACAGGGGTGGGGGGTGGGTTGCAAATAGGGCGATTTGTCAAACCCGCAGCACGTCCTGAATAAATGTATTGGAAGAGCTGGGGCAATTTTTCGCGTATGTTTTACGGTTATTGGGAAATGTCCATTTCCCCAGCATGCTATCACAGCTCAAAATGGCCCTCAGCTAAATGCTGCTGTGCTTTTTTGAAACCTATTAACACCCTGGCTGATTTTATTAGGCTCTAACACAGTAACGTGGGAACAAACCTGTCACTACTTCTTCTAAGGTGTAAAATCGGTGATGTCTCTGAAAGTGTTATTGTGTTATTTCTAGACATGCTGCTGTAATATTACATAATTGCTTTGTATGAGATCTTCTGCACAAACTGTGATACAAAGAAATCATTGCAAAAAAAAAAAATCCAGCATAACAGAAGTACAGCTAATATGTCAATTTATTTCAACAGATATTCGACCACCCATTTTTTTCTCTTTAAATAAAATATTAAAAATTTACTATGCATTATTAAGTACCAGAATGTTTTTTGTACCAGCTGAGATGATGTTGGCAGTAATGATGTTCATAAATGCAGTTAGTTTTACAAATACACCAGATGTTTGTTTTTTGTGTTTAATGTTCAGATAGTTTCCATTGGTGTGCATTACATTAATTTTTCCTGATGAATGTGGCAGATTTCAAACAAATATGACCAAGTAGAAACAGCATAATAAATGTTTCATTTCATCATAATGTGCATTTGCACTTTTATATGTTACTCATGTTCATATGCTCAATATGCCTTTTAATTAACAATAAAATCTTGTCCTGTTTTTGTGTTAACAATCAGTATATTTCATTATAAACAAGAATATTGCAACTGTGATTTTACAAACCAGTCATCTGTGTGCTAACAAGTGAACCCTTTCTGGCTGCATGTGGACAATGGAATATCTCATCCAGCCAAAGGGGTGGTCTTACCTGTACTGAATGCTGAGTGGTTCAGCTTTTAATCCAGAAGGCCAATGAGAAAGCTTGGTTTACAGGGGGCTCCTCCTCCTCCAATCTGTGCTGAGCTGGTGCTGTTAAAGGTTGAATATTAATGGTGTGCAGATCAGGGTCTCACAGTGACAGCGAGTGTCCATCTGAAGCAGGGAGCATATGCAAAATAAGCTGCCCGAGTGCTGTCACACTGTAATAAAATATATTCATGCTACTAATGAAAGCACTGCTTCAGTTATAAAGTTAGCAACACACTAACGGCATATATATTCTAATAACCATTCCTGAGCTTCAGTGACAACCAATCTATGATGGACAAAGCAGTTTTATGATTATTCTATATAGGTTGACGTCCTCGTTCCCGCAGACGGTTGACATCATATGTCTTGCACTTAATGCAGATTTTAATGAGTGAAGGCCTTCAGAACGTCGCCACGTGTGTTTTGACATAAACAAATCACGCCAGGCAGACAGACAATGCGAGATGGGAACCAGCAACTATTGATTCCCAGAAGCCTTTGCTTCAGAAAGCTCGGCATGCGGCCCTGGCGCCAGCTTGCACGGAAGATGGCTGGGAGACGTGGGTTTTAGCACTCAAAAGGAGTGCCGTGGAGAACCGAATTAAATGAACGAGCTACAAAAACGAACCGATAGTGGAACCCGATCTGGCAAACTCGTGCAATGAGGGGGTGGGAGAACCTTCCGGGCTCTTTGAGTAGATGGAGTGTGGAGACATCCTTCTCTCCTGTGAAAAGATGGAAGCTGACATGTCAATGCGGCTCTTTGTCAGTAACGCGAGTCTGCAAGAAGAGAGCGGAGTTAAAAATTTAATCTGTAAAGCTATTTAGAGAATGGATAGACCCTAGCAGTCTCCCTTATGAATTAGCAGAACAAGCAGTGGAGGAGTTCTGGAAAAAGCTGTAGCAGCCAGCAGCACGAAACTAAGTTCAACTGACAGAATCAGTTTGGCAAATGAGCTTTAAAGCGCAGACTGCCTCGTGCTCTTTTTCCTAAATAGTCTTTAATTTAAGAGGCTCGCAGTGCACAGTGGATGCACTCCCTCCATACTGTAAAACCCAGCGTCCATTGAGAGCTCATGAGACCTGTTATTTCTTATTTTTATTATGATAATTTTTTTCAGATGCTCAGTGGATGGATGTAAAACGAAGCTGGTGTCCACGTGGATGGAAAATCGAAAATGCGCAACGGAACGGTGGATGCGTCGCCATCGAAAACGCTCAGCCGCACAGCATTGGCCGGTCAGGAATCCCTTCGGTTAATAATAATGTCACAGAGGGACAGTCAGACGGCATGCCGATTGCTTATAACCAGAACAGCAGCCTGTCCATCACTCTCCAACTGTCTGTAATGTTACTCAGAAAAGGAAAGTGGTTTATCAATAACAGGGGGACAGGCCAGTCTCGCCGACAGTAAGCCGCCTTGGGGTGTTTCTGATCACTATATTACTAAACTACCTGTGTTTATGAAATCGCTGATTCCTTGTAGTAATTCAGTACAATTTAAACATTTAATTTGTGACAATATTCCTACTTCTCACTCATTCTGCCTTCAGCTGTTCCATCCCACTGTCCATGCAGTCCTTCTCATCCCCATCTATCGCCCCTTTTTCATGGCACCTGGCTCAGAGCCTCTCCTCCTCTTCCACGGCGGCCCACTGGCCATATCTTGCTGGCGTTGCAGGTTGCCGAGGCCCCCGGTATGTGCGTCGGGGTGGGTGGTGTTGCGGGGAGAGCAGGCAGGCCAGACGCCGCGGCGTCACACATCTAATTAGCAGCTGTTCTGAGCGGGAAACAGGTGCACGAGCGGGGCCAGCCGGGGCCCGGCGCCTGGCAATTAGCGGCAGGCAAGAGAAAGGGCCAGGAATTGGGAGGAATTTCAAATGGCACTCCGCTGGGGACGCGGCGCTGGGGACACGGCGCCAGCCTCAAAGGCACAGTCACCTGAGATCTTAGACATGCTAATGTAAATTATGCAAGCTTTCAAACAACACGGCCGCATAATGAGGCCGGAGCTGGGCCGGGCCGGGCGGCAGGACGGAGGAGGATATTTCGGCAGCCCCTGTGCCCTCGCTGAGCCTTGTCTGTTCCTGCACACTCCTATCGAACCGAAAGTGAAGCAAAAGCGGAGACCCAGCCGGGCCAGAACAGTGGGAAATAGCATCCGCTCTTCAGGCTGACGATAACAAACTTCTGCACGCCTGTTTGGCAGGATTTCCTAACGAGTCTGGCTGCTTGTATCCCACGCAGTCCAGCTCAAAAACTGTTAGCATCGGCCTCATCATCGATTTTGGTGATATAAGAGGAGCACCTTGGAGCGGGAGACAACAGGGCCTCTGGGCTCGGAACAAAATTCCAGGAGCAGAGACACACTATCTTTGAGGGGAAACAGGAAGTGAGAGACCAGCACTCACTCCCTTACTTCCTTTAACAGCACTGTTCTTTTGATTTTTACCTTTTATCTGGTTTATTTGCGCCATACTGCTCCTCTTATGGCAGAAGCTCATCTCCATGCCTTTGCAAGTTTCCTACACATCGATCGGTCTAAAACACACAATTCATTGTTCAGGCGGCTGTGGGATAAAACTACTATAATATGGTTTTGTTTTCAGGGGTTCAGTGAAAAAGTGAAAAAGCTTTTTTCTTCAGACACCAGTTTTCTGTCTTTTGCCTGTTGTACCATATTTGGTCACCTTTCAGGATAGTAACAATGTCATATAAACCCTTTTTTAACACTGAAGTAGTGTAGGGTATTAGTAAGGGCTGAGGTTGAATAACAACAAAATACAAGAAAATAACGTAATGCTTATTCCTAATGCTGGTGTTGATTCCAAACACATATGAAATTATAAATTTGTGTGGGTCCCCATGAGATTTAAGTGTGTGCATCAGTATGATTGTTTGTGTGTTGGTCCACATGAGTGACTCTAGATAGACAAAGTTATCATTGTTGGGGAATCAGGTGCCATCTGAGTGACTCTGGATGGGCAGAGTCGTCATTCTAATGGAATCAGGTGCCGTCTGAGTGACTCTGGATGGGCAGAGTCGTCATTCTAATGGA